TGTGCTTTACAGTGACTGGGGGTATTTTAACTCGCCTGTCTATGAAGCATGTAGAGGCCAGTGTCCCAGTTTCTGCATGACAACTCACTGTATAAGAATCTCTTCCATGGGTCTGTCACAATGAGTTGCTGTCTTACTAGAAGCTCAGGCACAAAACCTGAGAAATTATGGTGTGTTGCTGAGCAACTACAGGCTGTCATTCATGTCACAGTTGAAGCGTCTATACAGAACGTTGCCATATTTGATTGAAATGCAGCATTTCAGACTGTGTGAAACGCTAATGTGAATCTATAGGCTGCCAGCACGAAGGTTGCAGGTTAACCCACAATAGTCACTGAAACCGCAACTGTGCTTTCATGTTTGCCATACAGCAAATTATTCAATGCCTTTAACCCATTTAACCTTTACATTTCTGCTGAACGGTGAATAACAATAAGATCCAAGTGATGTTATTTTCAGAAGAGAATCGCATGCCTCAGAGGACGGCATGCAACAGCCTTTTATGTTTCCACGCGACTTGTTGCAATGATCTCTCTTCTTTTTGTTATACATGTCATGATCGGAAAGATCATGGACCAGAGGTTTATGTGCCGTGATGGTTTTGTATGTCTGTCAGAGTTCTGAAGGGGAGAGCGAGTGTGGATGGATGAAGTCTGTCTGATAATGCTGATGTATGGAACCAAGTGTCACAATGCATTCATAAGGCTGAGCTTCTCTGCCACGATTTTCTAGTGCTGTGTAATAATGACAGCATTGCTCGAAATGTCACACAGCTAACTTTCAATGCATACCTCATTAATAAAATAGTCCTCTATTGAGATCTCCATATATACACTGAACAAAATGATAAGCGCAACACTTTTGTTTTTGACCCCATTTTTCATGAGCTGAACTAAAAAATCTTAAGACTTTTTCAATGTACACAAAAGGCCTATTTCTCTCAAATATTGTTCGCAAATCTGTCTAAATCTGTGTTAGTGAGCACGTCTTTACCCAGATAATCCATCCACCTCACAGGTGTGGCATATCAAGATGATGATTAGACAGCATGATTATTGCACAGGTGCACCTTAGGCTGCCCACAATAAAAGGCCACTATAAAATGTGCCGTTTTCCTGTATTGCATGAGTGCCCACAACTGGCGTAAACTGCAAAGGGCTGAACTGGAACGTCCTAAGCCCTTGATCACCTGGAATCAGCTATGGAGTTGATTTACTTATTTATTTTTGGCCTGAAACAATATTTGTAAATGCCTGGGATTGTGTGATGGCTGTCGGATTTTCTGATTGCTGATGTAGATTGAATCTTTAAACGGCTGGTTTGGCTGTGGAGCTTGGTACAGTGTTCTCACAAAGAGCCTGTTCAGATCAATAAATGAAGACAGCTGGAATTATACTGAGGTAGCAGGGAGGCCAGTCTCCACTGTGCAGAAAACGCTTAATAGCTAACACAGACAGCCTCTGTTATGCAGGACCATCCTAAACTTGAACCAGCTCAAAAACACAACTGCAATGCTGGGTAGATTACTTACAAATTGTAGTTGGTTACTGATTCCTCATTACATGACAAAATTTGTAGTTAGTAATGTAGATTACTTTAGGTAATGTATTCTGACTACTTTTTGATTACTTTTGACCTAACTCGGTAATCACATTGACTTGAATAGGATAATCTTGTACCATATTGATATAAATTTTCAAAGAGAAAGAAAATCTATTCAATTATTTGTTTTCAACAACATGAAGTGCAGTAAGTATTACATTATGTCAGGGTTTCCCAGACTGGGGTTCGTGAAGGAACTGCAGGGATTTGTGACTTTAATGAAAAATTTTAAATAATAACAATACAAATTCTTTACAAAAAATAAAGAGATTAAACAAAAAACAAAAAAGATTAAAAAATATACTTTTTTATTGCATGCCATATGACCATTAACCACCATCAGAGAACCGTGAACCATACTATTTATTATTATTTTTATTTAATTTTATTTATGACCCAACTTATTAACTTTAAATCTCTACACTCTAAAAATGCTGGGTTGTTTCAACCCAAATCTGGGTCAAATATGGACGAACCCAAATGTTGGGTTAAAAATGTAATCAAAAAAATTACAGTTGAAAGTGAAAGTTGAAGATTTTAAATTACATTTTTAACCCAACATTTGGGTTTGTCCATATTTGACCCAAATTAGGGTTAAAACAACCCAGCATTGTTTAGAGTGTAGGGTTACTTAAAGGTTGTCTATGCGATGCTGGGCCAAAACATTTTTTGTCACATACATCAAACGTCTCCTTACTATCGGCTAGCTGCCTGTCCCCTAAACACACTGTAAAAAAACGCGGTCTCTGTAGACACCACAGGCTCCGCAAACGGCAACAAAAACAATCATGTCTTACCCGGACCACGAAACCTAACAAACAGTGTTCCAGCCAATCACTGGCAAGAAGTATTTGAGGGTGGGTCTGGGCTCTGGGGGTTAGTGCGCGTGCACATGAAGGGTGTGTGTGTGTGTGTGTGTGTGTGTGTGTGTGTGTGTGTGTGTGTGAAGGAGAGCAGCGAAGCATCAGAGGGAAGTTTGAAAAATGACCGACACACGACCAGAGACGTCGTTCTGAGGAACAAATTAAAAAGAAGAAGGAGTCGGATAAAGAATGTGCTAAGTTCCGAATTTACATCGGTAGAAAAGCTTTTGAACGATGGCGAGAACTCCGGCGGCAGAAGGGCTTCCAGTCCGACATTCAGGTTGCTCTGTTTTTGCTTGACAGGTGGGTAACGTTAAATTGTTTTTTTTTCTTCTAAATTGACGCTTATGTTCGCCAAACCCACACAAGGATATAATTAGCTAGAACTATGCACGTTCACAATTATTTCAGGAAGCACGGAAGGGAGGGGGAGGAGATGAGATGCGGAGGAGGGAGGGTCTAGCTCCGATTTGTTTGAAAATATTCGAACGTCAACACCCAGGATCGCTTTGAGAACCTTTAAATATATTAGAGCTGAGGTTTAAACGAGTTGGGGAATCCCTGCATTGCACGTCAAATGAATTGGTACATTTTAATGTGTTTGAAAGAAAAAAAAAACTTCCAAAGACGGTACTACATGGTTAAATGACTCCAAATAGTAATTAATGTTCATCATCTGATTATGCTTTATGATTATGATTTCTGTAAATCCAGTGATCATGCTGTGTGGGTCTCAGTTTAAAGTCGTGGCGAGTCAGTTTGTGAAATCTTACAAACCTGAAAGACCTTCTGAACATATAAGCAGTAGACTTTGTTTAGAACAAGGAAATAGAATCAAAGAATTGGGAACAATATATTGCCATTGTGAGAAGAACATTTAATCATGTAATCAATAGAAAAGTAACTGTAGTCTGATTAATAGTATTTTAATAATCTAATTACAAGTACTTTATTTTTGGAATTTTACTAATCCAGATTACATCTCAATCATTGCACAGCACTGACAACATGTGATAGCAGTCGGCATGCCAGTGGAGCCTTAAATGGATCTGCTAAAACATTGCCCACAAGTCACCACAGGCTGCTTACACCTGCCTGTCTGATGATGACAGATGGCATCATTTCTGAAGCTCAGGTACCACACTGTCAGAGTGGCTAAGCCATTGAAGGGCCTGACAGTATTTTATGCTGAACTAAAAGCTGGTATAAAAAAAAAAAAAAAAATCATAATATTCAAAAGTATTTTTCTCTCTAACTTTGTTGTTTCAAAAGTTTCACCAGTTTTTAAATAAAAGCAGTAACCACAAAGGTAGTTTGCAAATCTCGCGAAGTTACCTCGCCTAGCCCTAGTCTAAATACACAATATAATCTCTGTTGCATCTCTGATGCCAGTCTATTATTGAAGTCAATTCACGATTGCCCACGTATGTTGACGGTTTGATGCCATCTGTTCCAGTGCCCAATCCCAAACAGCATGCGAAACCTGAGGCGTATAAGACCGTCGCAATCAGAGTTAGAGCTGCTTACGTCAGAGCCTGGCTGATTTATCTTTTCTAACGTATTTTTGTGGGCGATGTGCCTCATTAATTCATGTGATCCTTACCTGGCAGCATATGCTGGCGTAATATGCTAATTTTCTCCCTGTTAAACTTGAATCAATACAATATCTTAGCAGCATGCAGTGTGTGTGCCACTCATAGAGGGTGTTTTTCAAAGCTGTCACTCGCTTTAAGTGTAACCGGCGAGCAGAGGGCGTGTCGACAATACAGCGCCGTACTCAAGGGTGCCAATAAATTCAGTAATGACGCCAGTTAGCCCACCCAGCACAATGCGCCCAATGGCACTGGAGCGTCCTTAGTGATATATGGAGCTCAGACGCGACTCGTTGTTTATGGCGGACCTTCTGCATGGCCTGGCCCACAATGAGACATAATAATGAACTGAGACTGGGAGCTTTCCGTGGTGCTGAACCTTTCTTGTACGAGACGAGACCGCGTTTGGAAGATATTTTTACAGGGTTTTTTACCCCTATGTTCTCGTAGCTGGTAGCAAAAATGTCCATTCTTATTGTTTAGATTTAAATGTGACAATATTACGACTTATATTTATTTACCGAAAACGCGTGAGCGTCGAATTCGGTGCACGTCATAACAGAACGTTACTAAAACACGGATAAATCAGTTGTAGGCCTAATATAAGCTCGAAGACTACAGCTGTCTTCAGCAACCGCCAATAACTGTATCCAACTTTAAAGGAAACCATTACATTTGAGCACAAAATGTAATTATTATATAACATAATTATTATTATTAATAATATGTTAGCATTGATACAACTCAATACGACATACGTTATGAAACCTATAGAAACGTCACCATCTGGGTTTGAAAAGTCAAAAGTAATTTAAAAAATGTAACCAATACAATTCACATGAAATAGGTACAGAATATTTGTAACTAACATAATTTTCTTTCAGACGGTTCGGGAATAATAAAGTGTCTTCAGTAGATGTGCAGCAGTGCATGAAAAATAGAAAACCGCCACAACGGACGCTTCGTAGTGTTTATTAGGAGCGTTTTACTTTTTAACGCGCCGCTTGCCTCCGCTCTAGACGGGTGTTTAATTGTGGGTGGAATTCGAATCGAAACTGGACGTTTACAAATGCCATAGCAACCGTGCAGTCACATCTTTAATGTACCGTTGCCGTTGGCTTTATTTTCTATGCACGAATGTGGAGTTAGCAAAAGGCTGTGCTGCGCTGCGATAGCTGGATATTGAACACCATGATGTGCGCCTGAAGAAGAGTTGCAAAGCAATGATGTCATAGTTTTAAGTAGGAGCCATGGGAGAGCATATGGTTCGTACCCGCTACCGAAAGGAAGTGTTGCTTTGTTATGAGCAGGCGGCGCTGTAGCTGGCGGAAGAGGAGGTCGCCCAGCCCAGTGTCTCTTCGCCTGGAATAGAGAACTGAAGCCGAGGAGAAGACGTGAAAACGGTGGGAAGACAAAGCTGCTACAATGGCCGCGAAATCTGACGGGGTGCTAAAGATGAAAAAGAGCGATGTAGCATTTACGCCTTTGCAGAATTCGGATCACTCGGGTTCGGTTCAAGGGCTCGCTCCGGGATCGCAGCCCGATTCTGGAACCGGAGAGGCGGACTTCGTGAACGGCGAGTCGCGCTGCTGTGGTGGCTCAAATTCGACATGTCTCCCCCTCAGCAGGGAGCAGCAGAAATACACGGTCTGGGACTGCCTGTGGATCCTCGCCGCAGTGACGGTGTATTTCGCGGATGTGGGCACTGATGTTTGGCTTTCTGTCGACTATTACCTCCGCCGCGACTACTGGTGGTTCGGGCTTACGCTGTTTTTTGTGGTGCTCGGCTCGTTCTCGGTGCAGGTCTTCAGTTTCCGATGGTTCGTGCATGATTTCAGCACCGAGGAGAGTTCCGGCGGCGGCGCGGCGAGCTGCTCGCACATGGACGGGAAGCTGCTCAGCAGCTCGGCTTCGCACGGAGACGTTGGAGCCCACCCGTCTACGCCTCAAAGACAGGCGTCCACGGCGAGCAAGAGCAACACCACAAGCAACAGCATCAACAGCGCTACTGCAGCCCGGAATAGTAAGACACGCTCAGCATCCTGTTCCCTCTGTATCTGGCTGTTGCAGTCCGTCATTCACATCTTACAGCTCGGACAAATCTGGAGGTAAGCTATTATTTTCAATGGCACTTGTTGTGATTTGAAGAGCTAAGGTCGCGTATTTATTGCTTGTCCTCTTTAAAATGCATCAAGTATTTTGTGTAGAGCAGCGTGGTTGAATGACACACTCCAAGCATGTTCTTGAGTTTGGACTGGTTGACACATTAAGGCCACACACACATTGTGTTGGCTGGAGAGCTAATTTGTCATCCTGTTTTCACTGTAAAACTCATGCTCATATTCATGGTGGATCTGGCACAAAACACTTGGTATCCATATATTGCAACAGAACAAGGAAAGTAATCACTTTCAGTGTTTCATTTTTTTAGGTGACCTGACTTGTACAATGAAAAAAAATGAAAAGATTTCTGGATTGAAACGAGCTCATATGACTGAAGAGTTGATGGGAATAGTGTAGACATTCATTCAGATCCATTATACTTGTAATTGAGAATATACCTCACGGAGAACTAAATGCTATTAGTGGGTGATTGATCGCCTTGTATGAAAAGTAGTTGCAAATATTTCCCTGGTGGCATCTTACGGTGCATGAGGTTCTTGGCTCACCCATGAAGTTGCATTCTCTTTGCGGGTCAGTACATTAATTTGCCCATAGTTGTACTCAATGCTTACCTCAGTGACAGACCTAATGAACGGGATCACATAAACCTGTTTAGTTTCACAGTGTCAGCCCATCAGGGTCTTCGGAAGGCTGAATGAGTTCTGATCAGCATGTTTAATAGAGTGATATTAAGTCTTTAACCCTGAGGGTTGTATGTGGATGCTGTCCAAACTGTCCAGGGATGTGGAATTGCTAAATTGGAATGAGGCCATCAAAGCTATGGTCTAATATATAATATAATGATTGCAAAGACGAGGCATGTTGTGATAAGCCTTAAAGACACCATTATGTAAGTATGACACCATTATATTTACAGATTTGGCATTTTCAGAGTAGAATACATTTCTAAAAAGCTAGTAGTGGGAAAGCTGAATGGAATGACTTTATAGCCCACTTCACAAAACTAGGCTACTACAACCAGACCAATACAGCCCAAATCCTGGTTATTTTCGTAAACCATAAGTATTGTTTTGTTTTCCAATTAGGCAGCTGATTTGGCGGGTTATTTTTCTTTTTTGGTGTCATCCTGTTGGTGTCACATTGTTTAGGGTGATGGGAATGTGTTCTCTCAGAGGGGGAGGATTGTTGAGACATGTGCTGCACGTGGCACTTTGCAAAGGTTCACCAGTCTGGGGACATCTCACAAAGAAAAGCAATTTAAAAATAGCTTGCTTCACTGATAAATTTCTTGATATTCAACACAGGAAATGTGTCAGGCTAAGTGATAGAATTTGAGATTGATTGTGCAAGTTGAAGGTCTACATTTGGTTGTCATATGTTGATGGATATAATATATATTAATGTATTCCCGTAGTGTGCAAAAACCCTGTAGGAATGGGAAACCTCTAAAACTCTAACTGTTGTGTTGTATAAAAGTAGTTTTTTTTTGTTTGTTTGTTTGTTTTTTCAAACACTTACGATTTTAGGTTGACATAATAGATTTTTCAACCATTGTTGCTGAATCATGCCGTCCTGTAATCTGGGCTGTTTGACACTGTTAGTTTATTTATTTTTTTCATTGTGTTGCTGCAAAATTAATATTTGAATGTATTGTGAATTTTTGAGTCTCCACATCACTAAAGTTTGGTTTTCTGATAACCAAGATCCAAAAAGGTCGTAGGACGTAAAATTAAAAATTAATCCATTTTAATTAAGTGGAATAAATCTTTAGTCTTATGAAGAGCTATGATCGCTTAATATGATGAACAGATTTAATTCAGGCTTCTAACACATATGGTAAACATGGAAGCTCGTGGATGTCACATGAAACGATCGGTTGTCATGTGTGCACATTCTGCACAATGCATTTGGAAGTTTTCGTGTTTACCATATGTATGTCTGTGTGTTGATCATTGTTTATACGTAAATAAAAAATGTTACACTTGTAGTTGGTCCGCACAAAAGAAAAATAATTATCTTAATTAATATTATCTTAGTGTTCACGCTGTCGTTTTTAAGACTGACCCTAAAGCTATAACAAACCAACGAACAGCTTTAATGACGTTTATTTTGCTATGGAACTTACCGAACATCAAAAACAATTATGTGTGCTGGGCTGTGTGCTTGTTGTATGTGCATACATATGATGGTATATTTATCACCTGAGAACTCGTGAAAAGCTTGAAATGTGTAAAGATGTCAAAGCAGCACCAGGAGTTCATTAGTTCTGCTGCAAGGAGAAAGTGTTTGTGATGCCTGTATCTCATATGACGAGAAAAAACAGGTATGCTTGAGGATTCTGTTCTTTTTAGAGTCATATCTTGTGACGTCACATCCTATTTTTGTTTCGTTTAGGTGTCTTTAGTCCCTGTTGCGTTCATATTTCAGTCAAACAGCACTAGAGTTTGTTTGGAAGCAGACCGAGACCCACCTTTTCTGGGCTCTCGGCCCTCACTCGCTCAGATGACAGCGTTCACACTTATTCAAAAGCAATCGCACCAGTTCAATTTAATCAAACCAAACCTGAGCACACCCTAAATCTGTTTATATAAATAAAGCGATCGTATATGTTCAATAGACTTGGATTAAACTGCTCGAGTGGTGCTGGAATGTTTTTATGTTTTAGTTACCTGGACAATGGAGGAAACTCTTAAAGATATCTTAATTTGTGTTTTGAAGATTAACAAAAGTCTAAGTTTGGAATGACATGAGGTTGAGTAAATGATGGTAACATTTTTATTTTTGGGTGAACTAACCCTAAGGGTGCTTTCACACTTGGTTCGATTCCAAATCCGAGTTCAATCGCTCCCCCCTCCCCCTTCCCCCTGCTGTGTGATATGAGTTTGAACTCATTTTAAATGATTTGAGCTCAAACCGCAGTGTGATTACGTCATTAAAGCAACAGCTGTTTACCCCATTGCTTGGTAACAACAGCGCAGGAGAAGGTGGAAAAATGCGTAGCGTTGCTCGCCTCCCTTTTATATTTTTGTTTTCGAACCATTGTTTTTTTTTCCAAAGCTTCAGTACATAACTGCACTTACGAGCAGTTGAAGAATACTGAAGGCCGACAGATACTTGCTGTGTGAACTGAAGTAGACATAAGATGCATTTCATATCTCCTGACTTTAGTTTAAGACCATTGCATATTTAAGAAATTCATGTCTAAATATAAAGCGCTCTCTTATTCCTTTATATTTTACAATCTAATTCATTAAGCCTCTTATAGTTTTGAAAGCCATTCTGTATGTGTTTCTGCATGTGAAGTCTTGCCGATTGTGGTCTAGCTGATTGCACTGCAAATGAGCATGTATCAAACCACTATGTGCTTGCCAATTGTTGTTGACTACATGCCTACAATACATGACTACAGTAAAGTATGAAGCATTTATATATAGTCACACAGTAGGAGTCTACTTGGCACTGGGGTTATTGTCCACGTCTGTATTTAACGCCCCATGCTTTTCCCCTCCATGAAACTCGTCTGGTAAAGAACATGAGTGCAGGCAGGTCACATAGACACTGCACTTCAATGGAGTCGCTCAGCTAATATTTTATTGATGGAAGTATTGATGATATAATACAGAAAGTAACCAAAGATGGATAATACCCAGCTAACGGGGAACATGCCCTGCTAACATTCTGCCAAGGTTCTCCTAAAGTTCGGAACAAACTTTCCTCTAGTAACACTAATAGAACTTTAATAATGTTTTCAAAACAATATTTATGGAGTGTTTTTTTTTTTCTGAAATGTTTTTGCTAGACGTTCATCTAACATTTGTTTTACTTGTTTCAGAAAGCATTCAGAAGTAACTTTCACATAATGTTTGGAGAATGATAAAACAGAATCAATGTTTGCTTATTTTTTGCATAACCAAGAAATAAAACACTTTAAAGCATTTTAAAAACTGGGCATTTTAAATGTTTAGAGAACATTCAGAAATAATGTGATCATAACATAAGATTATTAGCAAAACGTTAGCAAACATTAGCAAAAACGTTCGGTAACGCTTCCTTTTACAGTCCTGTTACCCAACATACTATGTACTTATTATAGTAATTACAATTACTGGGTAATAACTACAAACCCTGAACCTACCCCTAACACATGTACTTACCTTATATTAACCAGTACTTTCTAGGTAAGTACTGTGCTGTAAAAGGAAGCGTTACCAAATGTTCTTAGTTAGCTGGGTAACTGCTTGTGTTATGAAGCCCAGTAAAACGGGGTCCTTATCTCACCTGTAAAGGCTCCTTTTGAAGCAACAGCTCTCCATGTGAACTCAGACTAAATTACCATATTAAGTTAAACATGGAGATTTATGCCGATGAGTGTGATTTTATGTATAGCAATGCAAACAATGGTACAGCTGAACCAGGCCATTGCGATTTAGCTCTTTCCATGTCACCCATCCTCCCACCCACACTCTCTGCCACATCTCGCTGAGAGTCAAGGCAACATGTAGCCTAATTTAGAAGCAAGGTGACAGGTATCGGCATGGAGGAACGTGCATTCAAACAGTCCAGAATTTACACTTTAGGGTTGAATTAATGAGCCATCACACTTATGCATGCAGAACACTGTGCCTAATTTCATAAGTTCTCATTTAATTCTGCTCTTATTTTAAGTCAAGGTCCTCTGTGAAGTGCTTTCTCTGACAGATGTCAACACCAGGCGAAAATTAATAATTAGATGTTTAATTAGATTTTAGTCACATTACACTTGTCATGAATTACACTCAAAGAAACAGTAAATCAAAATGGAGGGGATAAACACCAAACACACATGTCAAACCCAAAACAAAATGCTGAAAAAAGCAAACATGAAAGCACAAAAAAAAAACAGTCTAGTTTGTAGTGGGAACCTACACGGCAAAAAAAAATTATACTTATCTTTATTGATTGAAGCAAGCTTGAGATAAAAGCTTATCACTTTTAGTATCAGAAA